AGCTTGAGGCACTCATGTATTTTTTTTCTCTCTCCTGATCTCCCAGCACCTGAAAATCCAGGTCTACCTGGTGCTTGATAACTGCTCTGAGATGTGCCTCCATAGCTCTTCTGTAAGAGTCAGCCAACCAGACCCCCTGCCTACCACTTCCAGTGCTGATACAGGTCAGGCACTGCAGGGACCACACAGTACGGGGCAGGCGAGAGGTGCAAAATACTCAAACTGCACTAAAAAATAAAATTCCCTGAAATGCCATTTATACACATGCTTGAAAAATCTATCTGAGGAGTTAATGACTATTTCTAATGGCTTGGAGATGTTGGTTGATGAGAAACTGAACATGACAGGCACTGTGCATGTGAGCCCAGAATCCTCCCATGTGCTGGGCTGCACCCCCAGAGTGTGAGCAGCAGATCAAGGGAGGGGATTCTCCCCCTCTGCTGCGCTCTGGGGAGATACACGCACCCCTGCCCCTGCAGTCCTGATCCAGCTCTGGGGATCTCCTCTGAGTCCAGAGGAGGCCACGGAGATGCTGTGAGGGCTGGAGCAGCTCTGCTCTGGAGCCAGGCTGAGAGAGCTGGGCTGGTTCAGCCTGGAGAAGAGAAGGCTCCTTAAGGGGAGACCTTAGAGCAGCTCCCAGTGCCTAAAGGGGCTACAGAAAAGCTGGAGAGGGGCTTTGGACAAGGGCCTGTAGGGACAGGACAAAGGAAAATAGCTTGAACCTGACAGAGAGAGATTGAGATGAGCCCTTAGGCAGAAGTTCTTCCCTGTGAGGGTGGTGAGGCCCTGGCACAGGTTGCCCAGAGAAGCTGTGGCTGCCCCATACACATGCTTGAAAAATCTATCTGAGGAGTTAATGACTATTTCTAATGGCTTGGAGATGTTGGTTGATGAGAAACTGAACATGACAGGCACTGTGCATGTGAGCCCAGAATCCTCCCATGTGCTGGGCTGCACCCCCAGAGTGTGAGCAGCAGATCAAGGGAGGGGATTCTCCCCCTCTGCTGCGCTCTGGGGAGATACACGCACCCCTGCCCCTGCAGTCCTGATCCAGCTCTGGGGATCTCCTCTGAGTCCAGAGGAGGCCACGGAGATGCTGTGAGGGCTGGAGCAGCTCTGCTCTGGAGCCAGGCTGAGAGAGCTGGGCTGGTTCAGCCTGGAGAAGAGAAGGCTCCTTAAGGGGAGACCTTAGAGCAGCTCCCAGTGCCTAAAGGGGCTACAGAAAAGCTGGAGAGGGGCTTTGGACAAGGGCCTGTAGGGACAGGACAAAGGAAAATAGCTTGAACCTGACAGAGAGAGATTGAGATGAGCCCTTAGGCAGAAGTTCTTCCCTGTGAGGGTGGTGAGGCCCTGGCACAGGTTGCCCAGAGAAGCTGTGGCTGCCCCATCCCTGGCAGTGTTCAAGGCCAGGCTGGACAGGGCTTGGAGCAACCTTGGTCTCGTGGAAGGTGTCCCTGCCTGGAGCAGGGGTCTTCAAAGTTTTTAAGACCTTTTGGTCTTCCAACCCAAATCATTCTATGAGTTCTTCAGGCTGACTTCTTCACCAGTGGAAAGCTTTTTCTTTCAGCAGCATCATTTAAATTGGAGTTCCATAAGAAACTGAATTGCCCATAATCACTATTATATTCTGCCAGTTGTATGCAACTTACGGCCTCCTCAAACGGCTGTAATTTTTCATGGTCGTCATTTTGAGAATGCAGGACAAAATTTTCTGCCACAACAGTCTCATTCTGCACCACATTCTGGTAACATTTAAATTCACCTTCATCCTCAAAGCATCTTTCTTCTCCATGGAACAGTTGTTTGTGATAAATGTCTTTTAGCAGAACATCTTAACTGATGTGAAAGTCAAAATTGCTAAAGCTTTAAAGCTTGGAATACTTGTATATACCCTAAGTAATATGTAAAGGGGCATTGTCAACTTGAACTTTCCAAAGCTATTTATCTTTAGAAATTTTTTGCTAACTTCAGGGCTTGTAAGGAAACTAATCCAGAAAAGAGTTGATGAGTTTCCTACTGATGTCTGTAAAGCTGCATGTCCTGCAAGGCAGAGGAAGGAACGTGGCACAAAACAAGAAAGGTACTTTCACCCAATGATGTACACACAGAAATGTACTCAACCTGCATTCCCATGAAAAACAGTGGTGACAGCCCTTAATGGAATCACAGAATGGTTTGGGTTAGAAGGGACCTTAAAGCTCATCCAGTTCCAACCCCTGCCACAGGCCGGGACCCCTTCCACTAGAGCAGGTTGCTCCAAGCCCCGTCCTACCTGGCCTTGAACACTGCCAGGGATGGAGCAGCCACAGCTTCTCTGGACAACCTGTGCCAAGGCCTCAGCACCCTCACAGGGAAGAACTTCTGCCTAAGAGCTCATCTCAATCTCCCCTCTGTCAGGTTAAAGCCATTCCTCCTTGTACTGTCCCTCCAGGCCCTTGTCCAAAGCCACCCTCCAGCTTTCTTGTTGGCCAACTTTAGTTACTGATTTAATTATCTATGGGCCCTTAGAGGCTATTTTTCATGTTAAAATGATTAAGGCTTCTGGTGGAAGAAGCTTCCAGATAGCTCCCTATCTGTTGTATGGTTTTAAGAAATACTAAGCTGGTGATAGAGTGTTCATGGATATGTATTGAGGAGACAGTGGTGACATGTTTCTCAGGTCTTCTGTTCTAGATGTACTATTAGGAATATTTTACAGATGTAGTAAAGGTGCACAGGTAAAACCAGTTGTTTCTTTTGGCCTAAATAAAAAATAACAAGGACTACTAATGTTACAAATGCCCTGTAACTTCAGGAATTGGAGAACTTGGAACTCTGATGTAAACCATGTAATTTTACAGTCATCACAGTTTTCAGATGCATGTAGGTTTTTCTGTTCTGGTGGGAGTAGCTTTTCTTGCCTATTTTTGAGTGAGAAGTGGATTATTTCTACATTACTTCTATCATAGTGACTTTCTGATTTTTTTACTGACTTAGGAGAGTTTAGTCTCATTCTTTCAATGATTATTGTTTAAAGATGTAATATGATTGCTGAGATGTATTTTTGGGTGGTATCTGTTTTGAAATCTATTATCAAAGAATATTTAAACCAGGAGCATCTCCAGCTTTGAATGCTTGAATCCAATATTTTTTATCTTAGGGAGGACTTTATACACCTTACTGCAGCCTGAATAATAATTTGGTAGTCTGTGTACATGTATGACACTTATATTGACCATCAGCCTGCACTAACAACAGCTTTAGTTTTTTCTTACAGTTGTTAATTTCGTTTCTCACTCCTTAACATTGAAAGGGTTCAATATAAAAGGTAAATATTAAGCTCAGAATTCTGTGTCAGTTGGAGGGTTTTTTCATTGTAAAATAATTGAACCTTGTTACTCTGTGAGCTTTGCAGTAGTTTAATTTTGACAGCTGCACTACAGACAGTAAATTAAAAAAAATAAATAAAAGGAAATTTTCCTGTAGCAAATTTAATCTGTCTGTGATAGCACAGGACCCATTTTATGAGGCCACATTTATTCTCATAATTGGCTATTTCCTGTCCTTAAATGCCTATTTATTCATGTCTGCCACTTTTTTCTCAGTTTATTGGCCCTACGGTCACCACGCTATCTTTCTCTTCAAAATCAATTGACATTTTATGAAAAGAGTTTGCTAGATGTTTAGTTTAGTGAAAGTGGCATACAAAACATGTGCTTGTCACATTAAATAATCACTGTTGAAAGCAGAGTATTCAGTGACTTAACTGTATATAAAATATATTCGTTTACTTTATTTCAATGCTGTTATTGTTTTTATTTAGAGTTAATGAATTGGCAAAACATTACTGGGGGATGCTATCAGAAGTATTCCAAATAGTGGTTTTTCATGGAAATTCCAGAGCAGTGCACAGTGGCATTACATTTGACATAGGTGTTGAATTTCTCAGCATGCTCAGAGTTGCAATCTAGGAAAGCTGAAATTAGTGGACTATACAAATTAAAATATTAAAACGTCTAAGCTATGCACAGACTAATGACTCACCCTAAGGTATTCTTGCTCTAATTAAACACTTGTGGACAGCCCTTTGTTAGCAGTGATACTCTTTTCCTGTCAATGCTCTACCTTTTATTTTTAAAGGTGTTGCAAAGCTATTTCTGCTGGCTTGCACGTACAAAGCCATTCTTCATTAGCTCAGTGTACAGTACAACCAGGGTTTATTCAGAAGGGGGATCAAGAGGGGTGGATTGGCTTCAGCCATTCTGTGCAGTTATAAGCAGTCCCTGCTCATTACAACGTGAGATATCTTATTATGTAGGGGGTTGTGGCATCAGATTTTATCCTAGATGCCTGCACGAAGCTTTGACCCCAAGTCATGCACAGCTTACTGCAAGAGAGCTGAGCCTTTTGGGTGGTGCTCCAGTCCTGATTCTCTGTGCTCAGTCATGCCAACTCCACCACAGTTAAGGGTTTTGGTTTTTTGTTTGTTTTTTTTTTTTTTTTTTTTTGGTTTGTTTTTTGGGGTTTTTTTTTTTGTTTTGGTTTGGTTTTTTTTTGTGGTTTTGGTTGGTTGGTTGGTTGGTTTTGTGTTTTTATTTTTTTGGTTTGGTTTATTTAAGATTTTTACTGTTCTTAGGTGAATGGCATCAAAAATGTTCACATCTGAACTTCCAATCTGTATTTATACAAGAAGTGTAATTAAAAAGCACAATTTGCATCCAGAGCTGGATTTTTAAAATCCTCTTTGGCTGCATTCGAGTAAGACACATTAATTAACCTTGTTTCTAGTGTCTACATTCTTTTTAATATTTAATGTTCACAGGGATAAGAGGTTGTAGCTTTAAAAAAAAAAAAAAAATCAAGCAAGTGGCATAGGTTGAAGCTGAAGAGAAATCCTTCCGCAAGCTGGGAAGGAGTGGGATTTCTACTTATTTTTTCTGTCTGGCTGAATGCAAGTAAGCCAGTGTGCTCTGGCTTGATGTGAAGAAAACTGCATGCTGATGGAGAATGTTTGTTCGTAGGTGCCAGGTTGACCTGTCGACCCTGAGTAAAGAGCAAACCCACAAGCTGGAGATGCCACTGGAGGAGGGAGAGGGATACCTGGTGCTGCTGGTCACTCTCACAGCCTCAGCTGCAGTCACTATCTCTGACCTCTCCGCCAACTCCCTGGAGGACCAGAAGGAGCGAGAGGAGATACTGAAGAGATATGTATGCAGTACTTCTCTTTTGCCCTTTGCTTTCAAAACATTTGCTTATATAAATGCTAACTAGTAGAGGAGGAAAGATATAAATATATCTCTTATATTCTTATCACACTCAGCCAGTGACAATCATTTAAGCTAGTTACTAGTGTTACCACAGCTGGTATAGTTAACATCAAGGAGGATACAAATCCTCTTCATGCAACAGGGCTTTTTAACATAGTGATTCAGGTATTTGACGGGGTTAAAGAAGTTAGTTTTACTGCCTCGCAGATAATTTTACCAAGTACAAAATAACTAAGGGGTCAGTGAGTGACTGTATACTTTCTAGTGAGTGTTTACTCCAAATAGTTTGGCATGCCAGTAGTTTTCAGCTTTTTTGATGGCAAGAAAACTTTTTTTTTTTTTGCCTGCACATTAGAGGCTAGAGCAGTATTTTGTGTCATCAAAATAGTGGTTTAAACCAATATTTCTATTTCAAAATATTCCAAAGCAAATTATTTTTATTTTCCACAATCTCACATTACTCAGAATCTGTGTAGTTTTATCAAAGCAACAGAGAGGGGAGCTCTTACTCCAGCATTCCCTAATACCTAAATCACTAAAAGTGACTGTCTCACTACACATGGAGAAATAAAAAAAAAAAAAAAAAAAAAAGCAGAAGCAAAGCTATTTCCACTTAAAATTACAAAGCTTTTATTGTACAATGCTGCCAGGTGTTTAGAAAGGCTTCTCTAGACACTCAGGCATTAAACCAAACTCTGCTAACAAAGAGCCACTTAATTTTTTATTTTTTTTTAGATTTTAAAATATTCCTATTCCATGACTGACATCCTTTCAATAACTGGATTTAATAAAGATGTACCTTATCAGGCTGTGCAGATAACATGAAGTGCTAGTACTAATGCTGTACAATATTCTTCAAACAGATTAGCAGGATGTGTGCTTCAGCAAATTTATTCTGGCTATCTCCACTGAATCAGCTGTCTGCTAATGCTTGTACAACTCATACACCAATAGTGTTATCATAAACACAGTTTAATAGAGGTGACTTAGTGAGGCTAAACATAATATTCCTAAACCAACTGAGAGCTAAGGTATTGTGCACCATCTTTGAAAGATAATTACAATTAAGAGAGTTATTGCACATTTTGGAATTCACATAGACAGCCTGTGGCTGTCAGACTAAACCTTAATAAATATAATAAATTTCTGGTGGCTATGTTTTTGAAGTGGCATACTTCCTACTACCAAGTGCAACAGTACCATATTTCTGTGGATTATTGTGTGTGGTGATATGGCAGCCAAGTGATACTGATAGATTTGATAATTTCAGTAGCAGTATAGAAACATGTGGCAACTGTGTATTATTAATTGGTTTTCCTAAAATTTTCAAATTTTTTTGTCACCAATTTGAAGCAATGTAAGCAATGTAAGATCAACCTATTTATTTCTGTTTCTTACATATTCAATGGATATGTGTATTTTCTTGTTTTTACCTTACTGTAAGCATTTGAAAACGTTTATATTTTTTGGAAGATGTTCATACTGCAGAAGCATGAATTTCTCATTTTGTGTTTTGGAAAATTGTAGCATCTATGTACCGTTGTGATAAATTCTACTGTTATTATTAAAATGACTGGTGGGCAGCAGAAGAAAGAAATGATAAGGATTCATGAAATTCAAGTAGTTTATTTTTACTAATGTTTGATTTGTCTTTGGTATTCATCTCTCTCCTTCAGAACTGATACAAAGGAAGAGTATGCAATTAGCAAGATGTACTTTTCCCTATTGAGTGGCTGTATTTTGGGGTTTCTTTTTTGTCCTCTTAAAAAAAATCTAGCCACGATTTGAGAAATGTATTTTGCACCATTTCTGCAGCCAAAAACAGTTCATGAGCTGACCTTGCCATCAGATCAAATAACCTTGGAAAATGACTCTATTACTGTCATTTAACCATTTGTAGCTGAACATCAGAGCCTTACAAATTAAACAGGCATTACTGTTTGAACCATTATTTTACCACAATTGTCTGAAAAGATTAATTCCTTTTGGGGTGAGGAAGGGGGCGCATTAATGGGTACGACCAAGAGAGATTGTATGACCTTTTCAGAACGGGTGTGCTGAACCCCTGGTCCCCCTTGTCACAGTTTAAAAACCAGAGGAGCTAGTTTAGAGAAGAAGTTGTTAGCATTCCATTTTTATTATGACATTTCACAGTCATCCCATTTAATGTCCCTTGACCAGATTGTCCACCGTGAGACGATGGGTTTGAAATGTTATTTAGAGCATTGATAAAAGGTGAGCAGTTCTAAGATGACAGCGAGTCATAAGGCTGGTGGTGTGACATTAATTTTCTCCATAACAGAGATGGAATAAGACGTCATGGTGACAAGCTGTCAATCAGTACTGGCCCCTCAGTGTATCTTGATGCTATAGGATGGGGTATTGCATCTCCCATAATAGAGCTGAACTGAGATGCTCTCCCTGACAGCTGCTGCAGCCATACAGAAAATATATTATACAGCCTTTCATTAAAGAAATAAAGAGGACTCATCTCCAGAGCATTTCAATCTTTTCCCATCTATTGAGGGCTGAAAAGATTCACAGCAAATCATGGATTCCTCTGCTATGGAAATTTCAGGCTTCAGGAACCATGCAGGTTTTGAGGCCTTCAACAATAATCATAAATAAGAAGACAGAATATCATCTGATAAATCATTACTTAAAGTTATGTATTTAAAGTAATGTATTAAAGTAATTTTCTTCTCCCGCAGCCTCTGCCACGGCATTGTACCCATTTCCAGCAGTCTCCACAAGTCATGATGTGCAGTAAATAAATCTAAGCCAGATGTCTTGCTGGAACTAAAAGTTCAAAAATAATTATTCTGTGGGATGCTGACAAAGGTAGCAAAGTGAAATACAGCACTGGTGTCTTTTGGCAGAATAAACTGACCAGAGTGAAATTTGGAGAAAAGGGGACAGTACGGCACTGCAGGAAGGGGGGCAGTCACTTGACTTGCCCTGTGTTTGGCTTTTGCTTTGTTTTCTTTCTGCAGCTTTGTGTTTGTTTTGTTCATTGGGAAACTTGGGTGAAACAGAGAAACGTTTTTGTAAATCCTTTTACTTTCATCATGGTATTTGAGCAGAATTATCCCTGTTGTGGTACCAGTTCTGATAAGAAGCATCCAAACCTTGATCGTTACTACAATAAATGAAGGATGGTGCCAACATGCTTTTGAATTTTAACAGTGCTATCTGTAACACCGTCTCTGCCACCTTCAGTGTGTAAGCACACAAGCAGAGGGTTGGGTGCTGATTAGATTTGACTAACAGTATTTTTAAGCTGTATTTCTGGTGATTAACATATTAAAAACTGTAAAAATATTATTAATAATTATCCCATGATAACATGCATGCATGTGTTCATATGTATATAGCATGTGGGGTACTACACTTAACTGAGTTCCTCCATTCCGTATACCAAGGTCAAACCTTCACTGTAACCAGTAGATGGTCAGTTGGGGCTTGTGAAATTAGTATGAGGTGATTTAACTGTTAGAATTGTCTTACTAATAAAAAGATGGGGATGCATATTATACCCATTTTAATGTGTAAGTTATCTATGCATAAACATAGTGTACCTTTTGCAAGATGACATTTACATTTCTTTTAAACAGTGCCTGTGGTTTTCAGATCAGTGATGTTTATTCTGGTTTTCTGTAACAGTCAAGGTTGCCTTCATCGTAATTTAAAGAACTGTTGACCTGGTGTTTTACCTGATGTTAGTGCTTTCTAGAAATCTGGACATTATCATAAGCAGTGGAAAAGTTTTCACCTGCACTACATTGAAATTTTAGAAAAGGCCACAGGCATTAAATGCATTAGTCCAGATTTTAAAATACTTCAATATAAAGGTACATGCTAGCATTTATGAGCAAGACTTGCAAAAGCAACCAAAAACTAGGCCACGTAAAAATACATGATTTAAAATTAATTTAAAAAATCTAATTTTAGTCATCTCTTTTGGAGTTCCTCCCCTAGGTTATCTAAAACTGAATGATAATAACACGTTGATTATTAATTAATTGTAGATTTAAAGTTGCACTCAAGATTCTATCATTTGAAATTCTGCAACTATTAAAATATTTTTGAAGCTAGATCTTGGGAATTTTAGCATTTCACACCTAACTGGTGCAATACTCCCAGACTGTTACTTCTAGTTAATTGAAAAAAGATAAGCAACAGAACATATTTTCCAAACAGCTTTCTAAACTATGTTAGATGAATAAATGCAAGTGTTAGCCTACTCTTTAATTTTTAATTCCTCTTTTTAGTATCTTTTTATATTGCTAAGATGTATGTTAAAAAAAAAAAAAAAGATTTCTAGTAAGTGCTTTCTGCCATGGAATTAGAATCACCTTTTAAGTCTTTTTTTTTTTTTTTTAATATAAATATATTTTTGCACACGATTATTATGAAATTTATGCTATTAAGTCCTCTTTTGATTGTTTTTGCTCTTATTATTTGCAAGCTAGATGCAAGCTTACAATAAAAAAACCAACATTGACCCTAAGTCACTGTTCAAAATTTTGTTGGAGACATCAAAGTGAAAAATAGGAAAAATAGAAAAATACAAAAAAACAGAAAATGTGAACATAGATCTTACAGAAGTAGTCAGGAAGGTGAACTGTTTCATTGTATTAATTTCATTAATACACTGATAAATTTAAAATTTGATGGGCATTTGTTTATGGGGATTAAGGCAGTAGAATTGGTGATGTATTTAATAATTCATATTCTTGTTTTTCCTTTGCATTTTTTGACTGGGAAGTTAAAGTTGCGAAATACTGAAAGAAACACTGACAGCTGTACATTCTTCAGAAAATAATGTTTAGAAGTATGGGTACATTAGACAAAATTACACTAACATCTGGGCGGGGAGAAGACTATTAATATTGCTTTGGTTTGTCTTTTTTGCAATCCAGAATTGTTTTTCTTTTTATTATTTTTTAGAGCCCAATGATGATGTTCCATAACATGAAGGATGTGGGATTTCTTCAGGTGAAGGTCATCAGGGCAGAAGCATTGATGGCAGCTGATGTCACAGGCAAGGATTCATTTAGGTTCTGTAATAGTAAATATTGTAGTAAAACTGGACCTTTTAAGAAGTGAAACATATTATGTTTAAAACAGAAGTTTATCTAAAGATCATTGTCTTCACAGATCTCAGCCTCACCTTCTACTCATTAAGAAGAAAACCTGCAAACAAACAAAACGTTTGAAAGCAAGGCAGCAAGTCATTCTAGTGCTAGCAGAACACTACATAGGTTACTTCTGAGGAGGGTGAAATATACGTTTTTCTCCATCAGCCGTCCTCGAAAAAATACATAGAAAAGAATTCTTTTTCTAGTAGACAAAAAAATACAAAACTATCCAAATTAAAGATGAATTCCAGAGGACTCAGCAAATGAAAGGTGCTACATTTAGATACAACTTTAAATTTGTGGCCAAAAGAACAGCTTGGTATCTGGCAGATACTTACGAAAGCTGTGGCTGATTTCCGACATTTCAGAGATTTTAGAGATTTCAAATAAATGCAGCTTCCTGTAACTACTGCTTGTCTGTTTAAGAAAGGAAATAAGAAAATATTTTTTTATTTTCTGTTTTTGTAACATAAGCTGGATGGATAATTCAACCTTTTGCTTTTCAAAATAAGAAAAAGTATTTCAGCCATACTGGCCATATTTCTCCAGAAATATCCAGATTATCTCCTGTAAGTACAATCACCTTCACACTGCACAAGTTGAATGGAGCAAAATGAGCTGCTTCTGTGTCAGAAAACAGCCATCTCTGCTTTAAAAAAAAAAAAGTTAAAAAAAGAAAATTATACTAATCTAGCTGGTTTAACTGCAAATTGGACATTGTTCTGTTACAGGAGCAGAAGTCGATATATAGCAATATATTCACTTTTTAATAGTTCTTTGTGAATTAACATGAGCATCAGTATTTTATTTTTTTTTTCCTCAGCCAAGTTAGCAGCAAAGATTTTATTGCTAGAACTGATGATCCAGTTTATGGCACACAAAATAACAGATTCTATTTTCGGGGAGGTTGGAGAAATGCTTCTAAAGATTCCTCCCTCTGCTTTGACCTTTTAATCCAATGTGGTCTGAACAGAGAGGGAGATTAAGTTATTCAAGGGCAAATGGGATAATTCAGTCCCTGACCTCGTTCAGTCTTCGACTTTTCCAGATCAACATGTCATTTATGCTGGTTGAACAAATTTTTTGGAAATATGTTTGATTCAATTAGAGATGTCCAGAGCTACCAAAAATTTTCAGACGTCATTTACAGTGGCAGTCAGGAAGATGGGGAAGAACAGTCGATACTTTCCCATGTCCCATGTATTCTGTTAATTGGCAAGAAAAAGATGTTTATATGGCAGATGTGGTTTGTAAGATGGCTGTGCATTCCAGACACTGCAGAAATTGTGTATTTTGGACAAAAATACCTGGTATTCTGAAAAGAGGTTTTATTAATTGCTGCAGTAATTTATATTTACTTTTAGTAACTTGTGGGTATGTACAGATCATTCATTTCAGATTGAACTTTGACTAACAATTTTTGGAAATAAAGTAGTCATTTGGTGATTCAAATTTGATTTGCAAAAATAGTTTAAAACTGGACCCTCCACCTTTATTAAATGGGCAATGTTATTAGTCAGTGTAGAGAGCACTGTCATCAGTGGTATAACTTACATGACTAAGGATTGCTTCCTAAGGACTAGTTTGCTCTTCTTACTATGTTGTTTTTTCAGAGTTAATCTTCTGCCCTCCCCTGAGTCTGAAAAGTAGCTGAAACACCTGTATAGTACCTGTGTGGTTTGCTCTGCTTCCTGTCTGCTGGACATATCCCATTTCACTTTCAGGAATCTTTTCATGTGAAGCAGTAAATTAAAATTTATTAGTTTGGGCTGAGTGGGTTTTAAAAATCCTTAATATTCCATCATTATGCATAAATATAGACAGAAAAAAGATTTCTGTAATCTTTTAAGTAGTCATCAGTCTTGCTACAGTTGCAGGGATTTTTTTTTTCCTTTCAAAATGTGAAATTTTTCTTTTGTTACCATACATTCATTGAGCAGCATTGTAATACTGTATTAACTCTGCGTGAATAAAGAGCAATTGAGACTCCCATTGAATGAATGAGTAAAAGGCACAAATTACTTTTTAATGAAACCCTCAATTCTTCTCCTTTCCTTAGAAAGCCCATAGCCTTGTTCAACTGAATGTTACTACAGTAGGTCACTTCAGTTAAGCCCCTAATAAACTATTGACAGTCAAGGACAGTTTTTATTCCAGTCTCAATAGCCCCATGCTGGACAGCGTGTTTCAAATTGTTAAGGTTAGTACAGATATATTTTTAAAAGAGAGAGATTAAGGGTGGTGGTTCATGCCTCAGTTTACAAACAGCCCCTTCCCCCCATACAAAAGTATTGAACAAGGTGGCAAGGTGGGCTGGAATTAGGGTGGAGTTGTGGACAGGGAGCAAGTAGGCACCACCAGTTTGAAAATGGGGCGCTGCTCGAATGTGACAGAACTGAGTTTTAAAAATACCCCAGAAAAGAACAAAGTGAGATCTCTCCTCACTCAGCCTGCAAGCAGCAAGGAAGTCTAAGAAAGGGAGGAGCACTGAAGGGTTGAGAGATTTCCCACCAGTGCTTGAAAGCTGACCTTGACTGTGGGGAGAGCTGTAAAATAGGGTGTCTTCCAGGACTGGGGCCTTTGAGGGAATTGCCAGGTCAATGAGGATGTTTCCTCTGCAAAAGCAGCATCTTTCCATGGTCAAAACACAATTCTAGGGCTTCCACTAGTGCAAAATTATGTTTCGTTGGAGATTGTGGTCACAGCAAATACCCCTGTCTGGAAAGTGTGGGGGCTTTTTTTTTTTTTTTTTTTTTTTTTTAACCATAAGCTAACAAATAGAAAAACCTGAAGCGTGGAGTTTACTTTTTTCTTTTCTTCTTGAGAGAGAAGGCTTCATTTGACTCTTCCATTGTGTTTTAGCTATTCACTGCAAGGCTGTTTTCTCCCTAAAATCTCAGCTAAAAATGTTTTATATCCACCTTTCCCCACAAGATTCTTTGCTCGTTTGTGGTTACTCTGGAACACATACAGACCTTATCGAGGATTCAGCTGCTTGCAGAGCCCTGGTGTAGCAACATGTGTGCCTACAGAGGTGTCCTTTACACCAAGAAATATGTGATGGTGCAGTAAGACATTAGGCATAATGGGCTTACCATGCCAGTTAGCCTCTGAAACCATATTCTGTTCACCTATTCTGTTCACCTAACCTGTATGAGTTTTGGAAAGCAATAGGCTCTTCATCAGATCTTAGGCAGAAGTTCTTCCCTGTGAGGGTGCTGAGGCCCTGGCACAGGTTGCCCAGAGAAGCTGCAGCTGCCCCATCCCTGGCAGTGCTCAAGGCCAGGTTGGACAGTGCTTGGAGCAACCCGGTGTAGTGGAAGGTGTCCCTGCCCATGGCAGGGGGATGGAACTTGAGCTTCAAACCATCCCATAGTTCTAGGATTCTGTGATTGTATGACACGGTGCCAGTTGGGGCAATAGGTAAGCATATTCTGTCTGCAACAAAGCGAGGTGTAGCTGTGTTGCAGTGGGGGGGCTGCAGGCTTTGAAGGCAGCTCTTGTGTCTCCTTTACTCAGGAGTTGTGCTCCTCCTTTTCCTTGAACCATGAAATAAAATTGAAAACCTCTGCCTTACTATTGGCAAGAAACAACCAGGTTGGGAAAAGATGTGCCACAGGTTTGAACAGTTTCAGCAAAGTCCTATTATTTTAAGGAATAATAGTTAACAACTCAAATTCATTAGCAGAGCAAAATCCAAGCTCCGTGTGACAGCCTGCCTAGAAAACAGTTTGTTTTGCTGTCTCTGGGCTTTAATTAAGACATGTTCAATTCTCGCCCCTGGCTCCCTGCTCCCCCTGCCCCCACCCTGCTTGCTGTGTCACAGACCGGCGATCAGACGCTTTCAGATGGTCCAGCCCATGACTTTGACCTTCTGCGCGGTCTGGCGTTCCCTGGGGAACCGTTCAGCTCATGAGGTCTGATTTCACACTTCCAGGATGCCTCGGCTCTCTTAACAATGACAGGGAGACAAAGCCCTTTAGAGCGGGCCGCATGGGGACTTGTTTAAATTGGAAACTAGAGAGGAGTCAAGGAACAAGGTTACAGGCTACAGAATAGTGCTTTTAATAAAGAGCTCACAGCTCTGGTTCAGCTCAAAGAGGGCTACCTCTGTACAATTAATTGAGACATTTATCTGGAGCATCTTAGGCCTCTACTTTCTCACAGAATTATGTGATAAATATCAGCTAAGAGGCAAATGAGATGTGCATGAAATGAATTTTTAACACTTTGATTACTGTGTCTCCAGTCTTCATTAGAAGTGAATTTACTTGTATTTCTGACCTCATTATTAATCAATTGTCTGAGAGGTTTTTTTTGGTTACCGTGATTTCAGGACCTGATATATCAGAAAGATTTTACAGAAGAGTGATACTCGATGATGTTTCAGTTTACAGTCAAAAGCTTTTCAGGCTTCTCCTCCTCTGAAGAACAGAAACTAAGCATAAAAAATGAAGAATTTATTTTTCCTTCTTTTTGAGTTTTATGTATGAAAATCCGACTGTCTTCTAAGAAAATTCCATGTTAAAATTTTGATTAAAGTACTTGAAGCTAGATTGAAGATACCAAGGTGGCTAAATGTGCAGAATTTAAATGAGTTTTCTAAAATCTGTTGTACTAAAATGTCCTCATACCACATGTGCAAAAATAGTCTTTGAAATTGTTCTTCAAATGCAAGGAAATGTCAGAGTAATGTACACAAATGTTAAATTCACAAAGGTATGGAAGCCCATGCATGTAAAATTGAAGGAATAAATTCAGAGGCCCTTTGGAAATATGGTTCCAGAAGTAATTTGCTCTGTCAATTAGTGCAGCCAGATTTCAATATACACTTGAATTGTCTTCATGAAGTACGGAAATCTACTAGATGGGCAGTGTTCTCTGATAGATAAAATCTCACCTG